GTGAGGACGCTCACACTCACCACCACTCTCACCACACACTCACCACTACACACTCACCAACACACACTCACCACCACACTCACCACACACTCACCACTACACACTCACCAACACACACTCACCACACACTCACCACCACACTCACCACCACACTCACCACCACACTCACCACCACACTCACCACCTACACTCCACCACTCTCACCATCACACTCACCAACACACTCACCAACACACTCTCACCACCACACTCACCAACACACTCACCACCACACTCACCACCACACTCACCACCACACTCACCCTACACACTCACCACACACACTCACCACACACTCACCACCACACTCACCACCACACTCACCACCACACTCACCACACACACTCACCACCACACTCACCACCACACTCACCACCACACTCACCACCACACTCACCACCACACTCACCACCACACTCACCACCACACCACCACACACTCACCACCACACTCACCACCACTCTCACCACCACACTCACCACACACTCACCAACACACATCACCACCACACTCACCAACACACTCACACCACACTCACCACACACTCACCACCACACTCACCACCACTCTCACCACCACACTCACCACACACTCACCACCACACTCACCACCACACTCACCACCACACTCACCACCACACATTCACCACCACACTCACCACCACACTCACCACCACACTCACCACCACACTCACCACCACACTCCCACACACTCACCACCACACTCACCACCACACTCACCACCACACTCACCACCTCCCTCACCACCACACTCACCACTACACTCACCACTACACTCACCACCACACTCACCACCACACTCACCACCACACTCACCACCACACTCACCACCACACTCACCACCACTCTCACCACACACTCACCACTACACTCACCACCACACTCACCACCACACTCACCACCACACTCACCACTACACTCACCACCACACTCACCACCACACTCACCACCACTCTCACCACCACACTCACCAACACACTCACCACCACACTCACCACCACACTCACCACCACACTCACCACCACACTCACCACCACTCTCACCACCACACTCACCACCACACTCACCACACACTCACCACCACCTCACCACACTACACTCACCACCACACTCACCACCACCACTCACCACCACACTCACCACCACACTCACCACCACACTCACCACCACACTCACCAACACACTCACCACCACACTCACCACCACACTCACCACCACACTCACCACACACTCACCACCACACTCACCACCAACACTCACCACCACACTCACCACCACACTCACCACCACACTCACCACACTCACCACACTCACCACCACACTCACCACCACACTCACCACCACACTCACCACCACACTCACCACCACACTCACCACCACACTCACCACCACACTCACCACCACACTCCCACCACACTCACCACCACACTCACCACACACTCACCACCACACTCACCACCACACTCACCACCACACTCACCACCACACTCACCACCACACTCACCACCACACTCACCACCACACTCACACCACACCACCACACACTCACCACCACCCCACCACTCACCACCACACTCACCACCACACTCACCACCACACTCACCACCACACTCACCACCACACTCACCACCACATCACCACCACACTCACCACCTACACTCACCACCACACTCACCACCACACTCACCACCACACTCACCACCACACTCACCACCACACTCACCACCACACTCACCCACACCTCACCACCACACTCACCACCACACTCACCACCACACTCACACCACACTCACCAACACACTCACCAACACACTCACCACCACACTCACCACCACACTCACCACCACACTCACCACTACACTCACCACCACACTCACCACCACACTCACCAACACACTCACCACCACACTCACCACCACACTCACCACCACACACTCACCACCACACTCCCACCACCTCACACTCACATCACCCACACTCACCACTCACACTCACCACCACACTCACCACCACACTCCCACCACACTCACCACCACATCACCACCACACTCACCACCACACTCACCACCACACTCCCCACCACACTCACCACACTCACCACCACACTCACCACCACACTCACCACCACCTCACCACCACACTCACCACCACTACTCACACCACACTCACCACCACTTCACCACTACACTCACCACCACATCACCCCACACATCACCACTACACTCACCACCTACACTCACCACCACACTCACCACCACACTCACCACACACACTCACCACCCACTCACCAACTACACTCACCACCACACTCACCACACACCTCACCACCACACTCACCACCACACTCACCACCACACTCACCACCACACTCACCACCACACTCACCACCACACTCACCACCACACTCACCACCACACTCACCACTACACTCACCACCACACTCACCACTACACTCACCACTACACTCACCACCACACTCACCACCACACTCACCACTATACTCACCACCACACTCACCACCACACTCACCACTACACTCACCACCACACTCACCACCACACTCACCACCACACTCACCAACACACTCACCACCACACTCACCACCACACTCACCACCACACTCACCACCACACACTCACCACCACACTCACCACCACACTCACCACCACACTCACCACCACACTCACCACCACACTCACCACCACACTCCCACACACTCACCACCACACTCACCACCACACTCACCACCACACTCACCACCACACTCACCACCACACTCACCACCACACTCACCACTACACTCACCACCACACTCACCACCACACTCACCACTATACTCACCACCACACTCACCACCACACTCACCACCACACTCACCACCACTCTCACCACTACACTCACCACTACACTCACCACCACACTCACCACCACACTCACCACCACACTCACCACCACCTCTCACCACTACACTCACCACTACACTCACCACCACACTCACCACCACACACTCACCACCACACTCACCACCACACTCACCACCACACTCCCACACACTCACCACCACACTCACCACCACACTCACCACCACACTCACCACTACACTCACCACCACACTCACCACTACACTCACCACTACACTCACCACCACACTCACCACCACACTCACCACCACACTCACCACCACACTCACCACCACACTCACCACCACACTCACCACTACACTCACCACCACACTCACCACCACACTCACCACCACACTCACCACCACACTCACCACCACTCTCACCACTACACTCACCACTACACTCACCACCACACTCACCACTATACTCACCACCACACTCACCACTACACTCACCACCACACTCACCACCACACACTCACCACTACACTCACCACTATACCCACCACCACACTCACCACCACACTCACCACTATACTCACCACTACACTCACCACCACACTCACCAACACACTCACCACCACACTCACCACCACACTCACCACCACACTCACCACTATACTCACCACCACACTCACTAACACATTCACCACCACACTGACCACCACACTCACCAACACACTCACCACCACACTCACCAACACACACTCACCACCACACACTCACCAACACACTCACCAACACACACACACACCACCACACTCACCAACACACTCACCACCACACTCACCACCACACTCACCACCACACTCACCACTACACTCACCACCACACTCACCAACACACACTCACCACCACCACCCATCAACACACACTCACCACCACACACTCACCATCACACTCACCACCACACTCACCACACTCACCACCACACTCACCAACACACACTCACCACCACCACCCATCAACACACACTCACCACCACACACTCACCACCAACTCACACTCACCACCACACTCACCACCACACTCACACTCACCAACACACTCACCACCACACTCACCACGACACTCACCAACACACTCACCAACACACTCATCATGATACTCACCACCACACTCACCACCAACTCACACTCACCACCGCACTCACCACCACACTGACCACCAACTCACACTCACCACCAACTCACACTTACCACCAACTCACACTCACCACCACACTCACCACCACACTCACCACCACACTCACCACCAAACCCACACTCACCGACAATCACAACCACACTCACCACCAACTCACACTCACCACCAACTCACACTCACCACCAACTCACACTCACCACCACACTCACTACCACACTTATCACCACACTCACACTCACCACCACTCACCACCACACTCACCACCACACTCACATTCACCAACACTCACCACCACACTCACTCACCACCACACTCACTCACCATCACACTCACCACCACACTCACTCACCACCACCACACTCACCACCACACTCACCAACACTCACTACCACACTCACACTCACCACCACACTCACCACCACACTCACTACCACACTCACCACCACACTCACACTCACCACCACACTCACCACCACACTCATACTCGCCACAACACTCACCAACACACACTCACCACCACACTCACCAACACACTCACCACCACACTCACACTCACCACCACACTCATCACCACACTCACACTCACCACCACACTCACCACCACACTCACCACCACACTCACACTCACCACCACACTCACCACCACACTCACACTCACCACCACACTCACCACCAACTCACACTCACCACCAACTCACACTCACCACCACACTCACCACCACACTCACCACCATACTCACAACCACACTCACCACTACACTCACACTCACTACTACACTCACCACCACACTCACCACCACACTCACTCACCACCACCACACTCACCACCACACTCACACTCACCACCACACTCACCACCACTATTCACCACCACACACTCACCACCACACTCA